TTTGGAAGTTGTCATACCCTAATGCTTAAACACAGGAAACTATAGCACCCCATTTTTACTTTGACAGAGGGAACTGTTCATTAAAACTCACTACTGTCACTCAAATTGTGCATATCGGAAACAATTCTTGAATCGATAGATTTATATCCCTTCATACAAATCTTCCAAATCTCTTCAAACCTTACCTTCTCAGGCCTCAACTTGGGTGACATGGTTGGCAGGCAAGGACAATGACTTAGCATCTGAGGAGACTTGTAAGAGTGTGCCTGCCTTCAAAACCCCTTAGAACCATTTCAACCATTAGAGATTACTTTGCTTTTGTGAACATCAAAATATTTTCCATGGTAAGAAAATGGTGAGTGCCACATTAGCTACAAAATTAGGGGGCCTGCCCAGAATAATGAACCTTGAAACTGTTTTAAAGTCAGAAGAAGGAAGTATTATGTTATAAGTATATGGCAAAGAGCTGTTTTAAGAATAATTCCCCAAAAAAAACAAAGTTGTCTTAAGAAAGATTTATAGCAAATTTCATTATTCAAAACAAGGCTCTCAAGATCCACTGTTCCCAATCAAAGTATTAGCTTTTAGTGTTCTAGTCAGAGCGACAGTGGGGAATTCACTTTATCAGGATGACTTTATGTGTAATTAAAACAAAAGAGCTCATGAGCAACCACTTAAAGAAAGGGACTGACAATCCTTTGCTACACTAAGGGCCTCTACCCCGAAGGAACTGCCTATGTTCATTAGGTCTTGAAGCCATTGCAAGGCTGGTATTCAGGCAGAATTCTGCAGACAGAGAAGATTTCCTAAATATTCCCCTCTTAAGAAATAGATGGGGGCTTCCCTGGTGGCGCAGTGGTTGAGAGTCACCTGCCGATGCAGGGGACAAGGGTTCGTGCCCCGGTCCGGGAAGATCCCACGTGCCGCGGAGCGGCTGGGCCCATGAGCCATGGCCGCTGAGCCTGCGCGTCCGGAGCCTGTGCTCCGCAACGGGAGAGGCCACAACAGTGAGAGGCCCGCGTACCGCAAAAAAAATTTAAAAAATAAAAAAATAAAAAATAAATAGATGGGCTTCCCTGGTGTTGCAGTGATTAAGAATCCACCTGCCAATGCAGGGGACATGGGTTCGATCCCTGGTCTGGGAAGATCCCACATTCCGCGGAGCAACTAAGCCCATGCGCCACAACTACTAAGCCTGCGTGCCACAGCTACTGAGCCCATGCACCACAACTACTGATGCCCACATGCCCTAGAGCCTGTGCTCTGCAACAAGAGAAGCCACTACAATGAGAGGCCCGTGCACAGCGACGAGCAGTAGCCCCTGCTCCCACAACTAGAGAAAGCCCGCGTGCAGCAAGAAAGATGCAACACAGCCAAAATAATTAATTAATTTTTAGAAAATAGAGGAGTCTCCCTGGAGAAGTTCTTGTCATACATCATTCTCTTCAAGCTAAGTTCTAAATATATTTGCTATCTGCAAAAAGGGACTAATAGGATTTTAGCCACTGAGCTGGACATTATGGCCCTAGTTACACAACACCAACTTGGTAAAAAAAAAAAAAAAGTCAACTAAGGCTTAGCTTATTTGGATTTAAAACTTGACATTACTGTCCATCACTTGAAATTCAATAAGGCTTGATTGAATTATACATTATTGTCCCATTCTTTATGCTTAGTATGTGTCTATTAATAAGCCATCTTTCTTTATAATATAACTTCTGTATCATTTGCCACGTTTTTAATATACAGGTGGATTCTACAATCTGTTAAGGTCTAAATAGCTACCTTGCATGACTATAAGTTGTTATCCCAATTCTGCATTTAATTTATGTGGCACCTTTTATTTCCCTCAAAACTCTCATTATTACTTCATTGCCATCTGCTAGAGTCATTAACTAGGCATCATTAAACCCACATCTTGTACGCAAATCAATTAAAAACTTGTCCTCACCATAAAACAGAAAATTCCTTTGAACCTCTGACCCTGAAGTTAAGAGCCCATACTTCTCTTCTGAAAGTAAGGTCTTTTCAAGCATATATAATGCCTCTACAATCAGTACTGCTCCTTTCACATGTGTCCTATATAGTCTGATAGAATGAGCTGTTTTTCATGCATCATTCCAACCCATCCTATTTTAGAGACATCAGCATAGACTTCTTTGAATCCCTGATGCAGGCTATACTATACTGGGCTTGAAGAAGTAAAGAACAATAACAATTCTGCCAAGATATATCTATTTAATGGTGTTACACAAGTAACAGCTAACAGCTAACTGCTGGAAAATTGCAAAATGGGAACTCTGTTTTAGTCAAAATCCCAAACATGAACTGACTCTTCCCTTGAAAGAGTCCAGAAGGAAATTCTCCCATTGGTAAATACTGGCATCATTGGTAGAGGCCACATGACAGCAGTGCTCCAAGTTCAGTTCTATCAGAACAGGGATAGACACCTAGATGTAATAAATTCTACTTGTGTGAAAGAAGAATGACACAAAAGAATATAAAGTATATGATTACATGGACATAGAGTTAAAAAACAAGTAAACTGATTTGCAGTACCAGAAATCAAGATGGCGGTTGCCTTTGTGGGGGAGCTAGAAAATTATGGTCGACAGAGGACCCTAGAATGCCAATAACGTTCTGTCTCTTGATCTGCATGGTGGTTACAGGGGTGTGTCCATTTTATGATAATTCATTGAGATGATAATTTGTGAATTTATTTTTGTGCAGGTTAGGTTTCATGTAAAAGCTTTAAAAAATATACACAAGTGCCTAAACCCACTTCTAACCAACTAAATCACAATCTGTAGAGCTGTAGCCCAAGCATTGGTATTTTTTTCCAAAGATCAGAGTGTTGACTATGCATCTTTTGCTTTCCCACCCCCTGCCATTCTCTGATTTATACCCTGGGAGGCTGACAACTAAAAACTACATCCCCCCAACTCCCTGACCCTGTGCCCTCCCACCGGGTTGAGCCAGTGGGGGTGGGGGAATTAGCAGAAGAAGGGAAAGGATACTGGCGGGTTTGCCCCCCCCGCCATGCTCTCTCCCTGCACAACTGTGGTTCTAAGTATGGCAGTGTTTCCCATGGTGGCCATGGCAATGACTTTCACTGACCTCAAATTGCATCATTCTCCTTTTTGCCTCTTTTGCTCTGGAGTACTAATGGTGCCTGAAGAGTCTGGGTCCTGGTTAAAAATTTATGTGCGATATTTCAGGCCTGACCATAGACAATTACAGAGGCTTTACCTGACAGACCTCGCGGGGGAAGCAACCCTCCCTCCACTAGACTCAGTGCACACAAAATGCATTGCAATCTCTGAAGGGAGTTGCAGTCAAGGACTCAGGTCCCTCTGGCCAGTCTCACTCTTGTACATTTGCATTCCTAGCCCTGGCACCTTTATTCCTAGGTCTCTCTTTATCCAAGGCCTTGGGCAGATGTCTTCTTCAGTTGTATCTGTGAAGACCTCTTTATAGAGGAAGGACAGGAAAACCTTGAAGACACTTTCTCTGCTCTAACTCAATACCCAACACTTTTTCACTGCTAGCCCTTCCCTCTCACCATCCTTTCCCCCTAACACCCCAACCTAACTCCATTAAACTGCCAGAGCCTTTGGTTTGGAACTCTCTCAGCAGTGAGACACCCTCCCCCCAACCTGTGCTGCTCCACTGACACCTGACCAGCTCCCATACCATGGGGACAAACAGAAGAGCAGGAGTCTGCACTTTCTCCAGCTTTACACTCTCTTACTTTCACCTTGCAGTAAGTGATTGAAGTCTTGACTCTCATTTTTGGCCTGTTGTTTTAGCTGGCTACTCCAACACCTGGAAGCTCAGCACTCCCTCTCCCAGATCATCACAGTGTCCCGCTGCAGGTAGAGCTGATGCTTCACCACCCTTTGGTGGTTTCCTTCACCTTGCCCGAGCCTCTCTAAATAGTAACTTTATCAAATTCTTTTTAGTTATTTTCAGTGAGTATGCCATGTGTCCTAAGAAGCTGAATGATGCACACCCTGAATGGTTCTAATATGCAGGCAGGGTTGAACAATCTGATATAAACATTGTGTGGTGTTAGACGGAATAAGCCCTTGATCTTTGTATTAGTTTCACAAGTCTGACATAACAAAGTGCCACAAAATGGGTGGCTTCAGCAACATACATTTACTGTGTCACATTTCTGAAAGCTAGAAGTCCACAATCAAGATGCTGGCAGAGTCATGCTCCCTCTGATGGCGTTAGAGAAGGATCTAATGCAGGCCTCTCTCCTACCTTCTGATAACTCCTTGCCTGGTGGCAGTATAACTCCAATTTTCACATCATGTCTCACTGTGCCTGTGTCTGTGTTCAAACTTTCCGTTTTATAAGGATACCAGTCATATGGGATGAGAGGCTCGTCCTACTCCCAATATGGCTTCAACTAAACTAATCATATCTGCAATGACACTGTTTCCAGGTAAGGTCACGTTCTGAGTTATGTGGGACAGCGGCAGGGAGTAGAGGGTGAAGACTTCAACAAATGAATTTGGGGGGAGGCGACAATTCAACACACAACCTTGTAGAGGAATGATTTCATAATAAACTTTTGTTCCTTTTTTGTTTTTGTTGTTATTTTACATTTCTTCCTTTGGGAAAATGAACTTAACAGATGTGGTTCACATGGTGCTGTTGTCCCTCACGGGCTCCAGGTGGAACCTATAGCCCAAATCTGGTTAATCAGAATACTCCTGGGAAAGCAGAAGCAAGAAGAACTGCAATCCTGCAGCCTGTGGAACAAAAACCACATTCACAGAAAGATAGACAAGATGAAAAGGCAGAGGGCTATGTACCAGATGAAGGAACAAGATAAAACCCCAGAAAAATCAACTAAATGAAGTGGAGATAGGCAACCATCCAGAAAAAGAATTCAGGATAATGATAACAATGATGATCCAGGACCTCAGAATAAGAATGGAGGCAAAGATCGAGAAGATGCAAGAAATGTTTTTTTTTTTTTTTTTTGAGTTTTCAGATGTATACTTTAGGGAGTCACCAGATTTACTATTTTCCCCTTCTTAAAAAAATTCAAAATTTCTGTGAATCTTGCTGGAAACGATTTAGTTTCTCTGGATTATTGGATGCCATTTGGGAGAAATCACGAAAAATATCCTGGTAAGTTTCATCACCTGGCTGTCCATAAAGTCCTTCTGATTCCCGCATCTCTTCATTCATTCTCGCTAAACGTAACAAGGTCACTATATCAGCATTGGCTGCTTCCACAGCTATACTCAAAGGGTCCTTCCCTTCTTCATCAGTGGCATGTTGATTGGCACCTCGTTTTAGGAATAAACATACCTGCCCTGTGTGCCCTAAGACAGTGGCATGGTGCAGTGGTCCCCGCCCTTGCACATCTCTCTGGTTCACATTAGCACCATTCTGAAGGAGAAACTCGCATGTCACCAAAGAGCCCCCTAATACAGCCTGAATAAGTGGTGTTGCTTTGTTTTCCTCAGAATTAGCCCAGTTCACATCTGCGCCATGAGCCAAAGCTTCAGCCATTTTAGGAAGACTTTTTTCATACGAAGCCCTATAAAGCTGGAGTCCTGGATTAAGATGTTGAGAGTCGAGAAACACAGAAGAATCCTGCCTTTCTGTCTCTGAACTTTGGGGAGATGCTCTAACTTGTTCACTTGGCCCAAGTTTAGAAATGCTCAGCCTCTTTTCTTCACAACTTTTGGAGACAATCTTTTTTTCCTGCTCAGGAGGTGATGATGATATAGAATATTTATCCACAAATTTTCTCTCCACGTATTTTGCTCTGATATACGCCTCTTTCTCCTGTCTTTGTCCTGGTTGCGGTTTCTTTCTTCCCATTTTTTCCACATTAGCTTCATAAACTCTATTCATAACATCATTCCCCAACTCACACATAAGCTTTAAAAGTTCAGGCTCCCAGGTGTCTAAAGTTAAAGATCGTACTTTTGAAAAATGAACTCCAAGACTCCGGTGAATCCCAGAACACTCGATACACAGGGTGATGCCCAGGTTGATGCTGGCCCACCGTGGGTCTGCCAGACCACAGTCACAACAGCTGGCATTGCCAGGAATACACTGGACTCGCTGCAATGCACTTTCTCCTTTCAATAATTTATCTTTTGACTCATTTCCAGAATCCAGGCTTCCCGTGGATGGAGATGATTTCTTATCCAGCTTCTCTGATTCATCACCCTTCTCTCTATAAGCAGTAGCAATACTGGTCTGAACAGCCTTAATCCATGCCTGGCGCAGCTTTTCAGAATCTGCCTGAAGCATACAACTTTTTGTTGGAGAGACCACCTCAAAGCAGAATCGTCGTTCTATGTCCTCACAATGTTTCACTGTACAGAGCCTTAGATCTTCTACCACCACAGTGGGATTATCCTTAAACTTTTTCTGGTAAACCAACTGATTATTCTGTATTGAAAACCAGCGTCTGATATGATCGGGCTTTTTCCTGTTCCAAGTTTTGAAGGCATTGCTGGCTCGTTTGAACAGATAACCTTCCATAACAATGCCATTTGCAGCATCTACATTATATTCTAGCTTAGAATCATCACTGGAGAAATCCTTTTGTTGAATGGTGGAATGTTTTTGCTCCATTTCTCTTTTCTCCTTTGCTGCATCCACAACCAGTCGATCCAACTGTGCACCAAGATCCTTCATGTAGGGCCCAAGTTCACTAAATAGATCATATCCTTGATGAAAGAAGGCCAAATGGGCATACATAAAGGATAACATTGATTTCAGGATTTCTGATCTCCTTTTTGATTGAAGGACGTTAATCTGAAGTACGTAATCTAGGGCTATATGTCGAAAACATTTTCTTGTTGCTGTCAGAATGTTTGTGGCTTCTTCAACTTCATGCTGTTTGTTTCTCTGTACTTGGGCATTTTTTACTAATGCGTTTTCTTTTTCTTCACTGACTTTTTCAAACTGCTTCTTGGCATCTTTGAATTTTCTAAGATCTTCTTTGACAAAGTTCTGAAGCTGTGCCTTAATCGATCTCTGAGTTTGGTCAAATAGGATCTCCAGCTTTGTTCTTCTTTCTTAAGATTGTTTTGGCTACTTCGGGTCTTTCGTGTTTCCATACATATTTCAGAATTATTTTTTCCAGTTTGTGTGAAAATTTATCATTTCTTGAAGACTGTCAGAAAATTTGGTCAAACTTGTCTCAACTACAGCATCATTGCTAGAATACTGTGCCAGGTCTCGAATCCCATTCATGAACTGTTTATTTGCAACACAAAAGGCTTTTCCAGTATCAATCATTGCAATACATAGCTTCACAAGCTTATCAAGTTTCAGTTCCAATTCTGCCACATCTCCTTCTACTTCTTCCAAAGCAGCCCTGCCGGGGCGGGCGGGGCTGGGAGCTGAGGCTTGGGCTTCAGGTCGGAGTGCCGGGGTTGGCGGCGTGAACACAGCCCGCAGGGGGCTAGTGCACCACGGCCAGCCCGAAGGGAGTCCCGGGAAAAAGTCTGGACCCGCCAAAGATGCAAGAGACTTTTTCTTCTCTCTTTGTTTCCTGGTGCGCGAGGAGAGGGGATCAAGAGCGCCGCCCAAAAGAGCTCCAGAGACGGGCGCGAGCCGCGGCCAAAAGCGCGGACCCCAGAGACGGGCATGAGACGCCAAGGCCGCCGCTGCCCCCACCAAGAAGCCTGCGTGCAAGCACAGGTCACCATCCACCCCCCGCCTCCGGGGAGCCTGTGCAGCCCGCCACCGCCAGGGTCCCGGGATCCAGGGACAACTTTCCCGGGAGAACGCACGGCGCACCTCAGGCTGCTGCGGCAAGAAATGTTTAACAAAGACTTAGAAAACTTAAAGAACAAACAAAGAGATGAACAATACAATAACTGAAATGAAAACTACACTAGAAGGAATCAAGAGCAGAATAAATGAGGCTGAAGAACGGGTAAGTGACCTGGAAGACAGAATGGTGGAATTCGCTGCTGTGGAACAGAATAAAGAAAAAAGAATGAAAAGAAACGAAGACAGCCTAAGAGACCTCTGGGACAACATTAAACACAAAAGCATTCACATTATAGGGGTCCCAAAAGGAGAAGAGAGAGAGAAAGGACCCGAGAAAATACTTGAAGAGATTATAGTCAAAAACTTCCCTAACATGGGAAAGGAAATAGCCACCCAAGTCCAGGAAGTGCAGCGAGTCTCATACAGGATAAACCCAAGGAGAAACACGCTGAGACACATAGTAATCAAACTGGCAAAAATTAAAGACAAAGAAAAATTATTGAAAGCAGCAAGGGAAAAACGACAAATAACATACAAGGGAACTCCCATAAGGTTAACAGCTGATTTCTCAGCAGAAACTCTACAAGCCAGAAGGGAGTGATACACTGGTTCTTCCCTTTCATCACTTTAAGTATATCATGTCAGTATGATATACTTAAAGTGATGAAAGGGAAGAACCTACAGCCATGATTACTCTACTGGGCAAGGATCTCATTCAGATTCAATGGAGAAATCAAAAGCTTTACAGACAAGCAAAAGTTAAGAGAATTCAGCACCACCAAACCAGTTCTACAACAAATGCTAAATGAACTGCTCTAACTGGGAAACACAAGAGAAGAAAAGGACCTACAAAAACAACCCCAAAACAATTAAGAAAATGTTCATAGGAACATATATATCAATAATTACCTTAAACGTGAATGGATTAAATGCTCCAACCAAAAGACACAGGTCTGCTGAATGGATACAAAAACAAGACCCATCTATATGCTGTCTACAAGAGACCTACTTCAGACCTAGGGACAACATACAGACTGAAAGTGAGGGGATGGAAAAAGATATTCCATGCCAATGGAAATCAAAAGAAAGCTGGAGTAGCTATACTCATATCAGATAAAATAGACTTTAAAATAAAGAATGTTACAAGAGACAAGGAGGACACCACATAATGATCAAGGGATCAATTCAAGAAGATATAACAATTATAAATATATATGCACCCAACATAGGAGCACCTCAATACATAAGGCAACTGCTAACAGCTATAAAAGAGGAAATCAACAGTAACACAATAATAGTGGGGGAGCTTAACACCTCACTTACACCAATGGACAGATCATCCAAAATGAAAATAAATAAGGAAACAGAAGCTTTAAATGACACAATAGACCAGATTCATTTAATTGATATTTACAGGACATTCCATCCAGAAACAGCAGATTACACTTTCTTCTCAAGTGCACAGGGAACATTCTCCAGGATAGATCACATCCTGGGGCACAAATCAAGCTACAGTAATGTTAAGAAAATTGAAATCATATCAAGCATCTTTTCTGACCACAACATTATGAGATTAAAAATGAATTACAGGGAAAAAAACCGTAAAAAACACAAACACATGGAGGCTAAACAATATGTTACTAAATAACCAAGAGATCACTGAATAAATCAAAGTGGAAATCAAAAATACCTAGAGACAAATGACAATGAAAACACAACGATACAAAACATATGGGATGCAGCAAAAGCAGTTCTCAGAGGGAGGTTTATAGCTATACAAGCCTACCTCAAGAAACAAATCTCAAATAAACAATCTAGCTTTACACCTAAAGGAACTAGAGAAAGAAGAACAAACAAAACCCAAAGTTAGCAGAAAGATCAGAGCAGAAATAAATGAAATAGAAAAAAGAAAACAATAGCAAGGATCAATAAAACTAAAAGCTGGTTCTTTGAGAAGATAAACAAAATTGATAAACCATTAGCCAGACTCATCAAGATAAAGAGGGAGAGGACTCAAATCAATAAAATTAGAAATGAAAAAGGAGAAGTTACAACAGACACTGCAGAAATAGAAAGCATCCTAAGAGACTACTACAAGCAACTCTATGCCAATGCCAATAAAATGGACAACCTGGAAGAAATGGACAGATTCTTAGAAAGGTATAACCTTCCAAGACTGAACCAGGAAAAAACAGAAAATATGAACAGACCAATCACAAGTAATGATATTGAAACTGTGATTAAAATTCTTCCAACAAACAAAAGTCCAGGACCAGATGGCTTCACAGGTGAATTCTATCCAACATTTAGAGAAGAGCTAACACCCATCCTTCTCAAACTCTTCCAAAAAATTGTGGAGGAAGGAACACTCCCAAACTCATCCTATGAAGCCACCATCACCCTGATACCAAAACCAGACAAAGATACCATAAAAAAAGAAAATTACAGACCAATGTCACTGATGAATATAGATGCAAAAATCCTCAACAAAATACTAGCAAACAGAATCCAACAACACATTAAAAGGATCATACACCATGATCAAGTTGGATTTATCCCAGGGATGCAAGGATTCTTCAATATATGTAAATCAATCAATGTGATAAACCATATTAACAAATTGAATAAAAACCATATGATCATCTCAATAGATACAGAAAAAGCTTTTGACAAAATTCAACAACTATTTATGATAAAAACTCTCCAGAAAGTGGGCATAGAGGGAACCTACCTCAACATAATAAAGGCCATATGTGACAAACCCACAGCAAACATCATTCTCAATGGTGAAAAACTGAAAGCATTTCCTCTGAGATCAGAAACAAGACAAGGATGTCCACTCTCACCACTATTATTCAACATAGTTTTGCAAGTCCTAGCCACAGCAATCAAAGAAAAAGAAATAAAAGGAATACCAATTGGAAAAGAAAAAGTAAAACTGTTACTCTTTGCAGATGACATGATACTATACATAGAAAATCCTACAGCTGCCACCAGAAGACTTCTAGAGCTAATCAATGAATTTGGTAAAGTTGCAGGATACAAAATTAATGCACAGAAATCTCTTGCATTCCTATACACTAATGATGAAAAATCTGGAAGAGAAATTAAGGAAACACTCCCATTTACCATTGCAACAAAAAGAATAAAATACCTAGGAATAAACCAATCTAGGGAGACAAAAGACCTGTATGCAGAAAACTATAAGACACAGATAAAGGAAATTAAAGATGATACCAACAGATGGAGAGATATACCATGTTCTTGGATTGGAAGAATCAATATTGTGAAAATGACTATGCTACCCAAAGCAATCTACAGATTCAATGCAATCACTATCAAATTACCAATGGCATTTTTTACAGAAGTATAACAAAAAATCTTAAAATTTGTTTGGAGACACAAAAGACCCCATATAGCCAAAGCAGTCTTGAGGGAAAAAAATGGAGCTGGAGGCATCAGACCCCCGGACTTCAGACTATATTACAAAGCTACAGTAATCAAGACAATATGGTACTGGCACGAAAACAGAAACATAGATCAATGGAACAAGATAGAAAGCCCAGAGATAAACCCACGCACCTATGGTCAACTAATCTATGACAAAGGAGGCAAAGATATGCAATGGAGAAAAGACAGTCTCTTCAATAAGTGGTGCTGGGAAAAGTGGACATCTACATGTAAAAGAATGAAATTAGAACACTCCCTAACACCATACACGAAAATAAACTCAAAATGGATTAGAGACCTAAATGTAAGACCAGACACTATAAAACTCTTAGAGGAAAACATAGGAAGAACACTCTTTGACATACATCACAGCAAGATCTTTTCTGAGCCACCTCCTAGGGAAATGGAAATAATAACAAAAATAAACAAATGGGACCTAATGAAACTTCAAAGCTTTTGCACAGCAAAGGAAACCATAAACAGGATGAAAAGACAACCCTCAGAATGGGAGAAAATATTTGCAAACGAATCAATGGACAAAGGATTAATCTCCAAAATATATAAACAGCTCATGCAGCTCAATATTAAAGAAAGAAACTCAATCCAAAAATGGGCAGAAGACCTAAATAGACATTTCTCCAAAGAAGACGTACAGATGGCCAAGAAGCACATGAAAAACTGCTCAACATCACTAATTATTAGAGAAATGCAAATCAAAACTACAATGAGGTATCACCTCACACCACTTAGAATGGGCATCATCTGAAAATCTAGAAACAATAAATACTGGAGAGGGTGTGGAGAAAAGGGAACTCTCTTGCACTGTTGGTGGGAATGTAAATTGATAGAGCCACTGTGGAGAACAGTATAGAGGTTCCTTATAAAACTAAAACTAGAATTACCAAATGATCCAGCAATCCCACTACTGGGCATATACCCAGAGAAAACCGTAATTCAAAAAGACACATGCACCTCAGTGTTCATTGCACCGCTATTTACAAAGCCAGTTCATGGAAGCCACCTAAATGTCCATCTACAGACAAATGGATAAAGAAGTTTTAGTACATATATACAATGGAATATTACTCAGCTATTAAAAAGGAACGAAATTGGTTCATTTGTAGAGATGTGGATGGATCTAGAGA